ATATATATATATATATATATATATATACATACCATAACAAATTCACTAAATAAATTATATATAGATATATATATGTACCAAATTATTAAGTCATCTTAATATATAGGTTCACTCTTCTTTTATAGATAGAGGAATGTAAAATCTTTATATAATATAAATAAAAAGAGAGAGTTAAGCTTACGGTCAACTCCACCAACTCGCTCAACAGCATACACAAAACGGCGATGAATATCATGAGTCCATCGGAGTCTTGGCATTATGGATTTAATATATGCTCTTATAGCAAACTTTGATGATTTATAGTTACTACTATATCCTAGCTCCATGGATAAAGAAGGAGAATTTTTGGAGAATTCCAGCCCTTTCATCATTTTGTTAAAAAGATGAGAGATTAGGAAGATAACTAAGCTTAGATGAAGAGAGAAAGGAGTTATAAGTCTATTTTTTTAAGTATACCAAAAAAACTAAAAGGAAGTAAGTAATAAATATTCTGAATTTCTGAATACTTAATAGGATTTTCTTTATTTGAAGTCAATATGAAATATTCTTGTATGCCCTTACATGAGATCTCTTCTATAAGGGCCACCTCAACCTCAACAACCACCCACCACCCTCCGTAAAGTCATCTTTTAAATTTTTTTAACCTTAAAAAATGGTCTAAAGATATCATTAATAGTGTTTGAACATAGATGTAATCAGCAATGTGAAGATTAGCTAAAATACAAGCTAGTGTGTGAAAACCTCTTTTGGCATTTCTGAAGTCAGTTACAAATAATAACACAACAAGCATGTACTGTTTGACTTATACAAGTCTTTTCACTAGTAGTTAAGAACTTTATTAAATGAAGGGATAAATATTATGAAAAATACTCAATAATTTTTTTAAACTTTGAATTTTTAATTTATTTTAAACTATGAAAAAAAATTCAACAATTCACTTAATAAAAAATTGAAAGAATATAGAAAATAAGCTTCTATGATCTTGAATTCAAAGGAGGATTATGGTGTAAGGTGCGGATTTTTGGAAATTTGATAATTTTTACATAGATTCCGTATTTATATTGATAAATTTATTAAATATCCGTTAGTGTATAATTTTTCTATATAACCATTTATAATCTATGAATATCAGCTCAAAAAAGAAAACAGTAAACTCAGCGGACTATATAGCGTTAAGATCTCAAATATATTTGATAGAAAATTAATAACAAAATTATTTTTTGGTCAAGTGGTAGAAATAAAATCACGATGACGGTTTGAATCTCTGGGGCACATATGATGGAAAAAAATTTCTCTCCATTCTATATTGCTTCTCCATTTTTGTTTTTATCTCCTAAGAAATTATATATTACAAAATATATATCTATCTCTCTCTCTCTCTCTCTCTCTCTCTCTCTCTCTCTATATATATATATATATATATATATATATATATATATACACACACACTAATTTGCCATTCCATTCCTTTTAGAGCCTTTATCTAAAGAATAATCCACTCCTTTGACGGAAGAGGCTCCTCCCCAGTAATGATTTCTTAGTTTTTCCAAGTACTCTCTTATATAGTTGACATGTGTCTATTTAATTTTTTAATTGATCAGATTAATTTTCTTGACTAAATACTATTAACCATGGATATTAGTAATTCTCTCTTCTCTCCTCTCTTATCTCTAATCTCTTTCTTTCTCACTTAATAGTGCAACAAACATTTTCTCCCGTAAAAAAAATGTTTTGTTAACAACAAGTCATTGTTCCTTTTCATTAATTTCACACCATGATAAAAAAAGATAATTCAAAGGAAGAATTCGGGTTATAAAATTTAATTATAAGGTTCAATATAATTAATTTATAATAAGGTCTTTTGATTTTTAATTTCTAGAAGATATAGTCACACACACTTTAGTTAATTAACATGGTATATATCAGAACAGATGAGGTCCTAATTAAGTCTAAGCCTTACCATTACTATGCATTATGATAAATATTTTTCACATGCTTTGGTTGGGAATTAGAAACACTTACTTAAGCCCACACATGAAGGGGATCGAGGTGTCATAAATATATAATTAAAAACATAAATCTTACCTTTTCTCTGTCTTATAACCTTTTTAAATTTAGAGATAAGTTGATTAACTTACATTTCAGTTGAAAATACACTCTTATACATTATAAATTATCGCTGCACCTTTAATCTAATTAAGTAGGAAAGTTTCAATTAACCTAGCTAAGCTAGGTTAGTTTAAGCAGAAACAAGTTTCTTATATTAGCATATACTAATAAGGATTAACTAAAAGAGTTTTTCTTTTCCCTTGAGGAAATAGAAGAGACCAATGGATTTCAACCAAGGGTGAGGTCAAGAGAGATATCTGAACTGAGAGATAACTCCAAAGACATAGTGCTATGGGAGTTTTCCTCTTCAATCATTGAAGTTGCACTCTCATTAGGCAAATTGCTAATTCCATATGCTCGCACGATTTTATTATCATCTTCTCCATTCTGCCCAAACAAAAATAAAATTCTCATTTGTAACTATATATGTCAAGTAAAGAAAGTTAATTAATAAAAAGTGAATTAAGGATTTCGTTTATTACTCGAATAGTAATGGTTCCATCGAAGAAATCCCTAAAAATGTAGCATCGTCCTTCCAATCCCATCTTCTTCTCTGGCATAGGTATCCTAGAAGGGGTAAACATGTAATTTCATATATCATCATTGAAATTCAATACTAATTCCGGAGTTATCTATTTTTCAGATTATTACAACATTGATGGTGTAAAAAATGTTCAAAATCAAAATAGATCCATTTTTAACAGGAAAAAGGAAGAGAAGAAAAATGAGACAAACCATGGAGGAGGAAAAACAGTAGAGCTGGAAGCAATTTTGTCCAAATAGTTAGTTGTCACTGTCGGATTAAGATGACCATCAAACACAGATTTGCCATTGTTATGATTGTAACAATGAACAAGGTTTCCCTGAGGAAAATTCATTTGATCAGAACCATCAAACATGGCAGCTTTGCCTTTGATATGATTATAACCATTAACAAGGTTTCCCTGTGGAAAATTCATTTGATCGGAACCATCAATCACAGCGGCTTTGCCATTGATATGATTGTAACGATGAACAAGGTTTCCCCGAGGAATATTCATTGAATCTGAACAATCAATTCTGTTTCTCTTTCTCCCATTTGCAGCTAGTGCTTCAGTTAATTAAAAACCAAAAAAGGTCAAATTAGTAGGTGGTAGACTTAATTAATTAACTCAATGGCGTTACATACTTATATGTGACAAAATTAAATCAATTTTGGTCTCCCTAACAATAGATCTAGCCTTAGAAAAAGTAGTTCTAAGTCCTTTATTCAATTTTAGCAATCCTAAAGGTGATATGGAATCAGGCAAAACTCAAAAAGGCTAAAATGAAACATCAAAAAAATTCCTCAAATGGAACTTCAAATAACATTTTTTTTCTTGATTGCTTTACCGCTCACTACTCATTTACTTTCTATTTTATCATCTTCTTAGATAATAAAATCAAGTTTCAAGCGGTTGAAAAAAAATTCACAAAATTTAAATTATGCACCTTAATCACTCCTTTAATTTTATATATATATAAAACTAGTACATACAAAATCATATAGAAGAAATGGAATTTGATGGAAAAAATTAAGTAAAAAGGGATATATACCTTGCATCTCTTGATGTTTCAAGCTTCTGTACATCTGTTCATATCATAAAAATATATTTTGTTAAGGTGGAAAAAAAATTTAAAAAAATGAAATTAAAGGGTTAAGATCTGATAATTACCTGAAGGTGACTCTTAATGTGAGATACAGTAAGGCCCTTCACATCCATTATTTGTAGCACCATCTTTGGTGTTGCTCCTAATTATTAGTATGTATATATACCAAATTATTAAGTCATCATGATATATATATCCACTCCTCTTTTTTAATAGTGGAATGTAAAATCTTAAAAAAAAGAAAGAAGAGAAAGTTAAGCTTACGATTAACTCCACCAAGATGATCAACAGCATACACAAAGCGGCGATGAAGATCATCAATCCATCGGAGTCTTGGAATTCTGGGTTTAACATACGCTCTTATGGCAAACTTTGATGTTTTGTCGCTACTGTTGTTTCCTAGCTCCATGGATAAAGAAGGAGAATCTTCAGAGAATTCTAGCCCTTTCATCATTTTGCAAAAAGAATAGAGGTTGAGAAGATAACTAATTAAGCTTGAATGAAGAGAGAAAGGAGTTATAAGTCTGTGTTTTTAAGTATACAAGAAAATAAAAAACAAAAAGTTAGCTTACGGTCAATTCCACCAAGATGATCAACAGCATACACAAAGCGGCGATGAAGATCATGAGTCCATCGGAGTCTTGGCATTGTGGATTTAACATATGCTCTTATAGAAAACTCTGATGATTTATCGTTACTTCTATATCCTAGCTCCATGGATAAAGAAGGAGAATTTTCGGAGAATTCCAACCCTTTCTTCATTTTGTTAAAAAGATGAGAGATTAGGAAGATAGCTAAGCTTAGATGAAGAGAGAAAGGAGTTATAAGTCTATGTTTTTAAGTATACAAAAAAACTAAAAGGGAGTAAGTAATAAATATTATAAAAATTTCTGATTACTTAATAGGATTTTCTTTGTTTTAAGTCAATATCGAAATATTCTTGTATTCCCTTACATGAGATCTCTTCCATAAGGGCCACCTCAACCTCAACAACCACCCACCACCCTCCGTAAAGTTACCTTTTAAGTTTTTTTTAACCTTAAAAAATGGTCTAAAGATATCACTAATAGTGTTTGAACATAGATGTAATCGGTAATGTGAAGATTAGCTAAAATACAAGCTAGTGTGTGAAAACTTTTTTTGGCATCTGGTGAAATCAGTTACAAATAATAACACAACAAGCGTGTTCTGTTTGACTTATACAAGCCTTTTCACTAGTAGTTAAGAACTTTATTAAATGAAGGGTAAATATTATGAGAAAAGCTCAATAATTTTTTTAACTTTGAATTATTCATTTATTTTAAACTATGAAAAAGAGATTCAACAATTCACTTAATAAAAAATAGAAGGAATATAGATAAGCTTCTATGATCTTGAATTCAAAGGCGGATCTATGGTGTAAGGTGCAAATTTTTGAAAATTCGATAATTTTTACATAAATTCCATATTTATATTGATAAATATATTAATCTACGTTAGATCTATAATATGTGTATATAATCATTTATTATCTTTGAATTTAAACTCAAAAAAAAAACAATCAACTCAGCTGACTACATAGCGTTTAGATCTGAAATATATTTGGTAGGAATCTAGTAACAAAATTAATTTTTTGGTCAAGTGGTAGAAATAAAATTAAACTTCCTTAGATTTAGCTATCCTTGATGAGGGTTTGAATTTCTGGGGCACAATGATTATTTTATTTTATTTTCCTCTATTTTATATTACTTCTCCATTTCTATTTTTTACCCCTTAAGAAATTATATATATATATATATATATATATATATATATATATATATATTTATATTTACTAATTTAACATTCCATTCCTTTTAGAGCCTTTTATCTAGAGAAATAATCCACTTCTTTGAGGTCCTCTCCAATTTCTCCAAGTGTTATTTTATATAGTTGACATGTGTCTATTTTATTTTTTAATTGATCATATTAATTTTTTTGACTAAATAACATTAACCATGGTTATGAGTACGTAATTCTCTCTCCTCTATCATCTCTTTCTTTCTTACTTGTTTTGACCAAATATTATTATCATGGTTATTAGTAATTCTCTCTCCACTCATTCCTTTCTCAATCAGCAAAAGATACTTCTTCCCCTTCAAAACTCTCGAGAAAATAGATTGAAATTTGGGAGAGTGACAAACTAAATCTGGGAAAGGGGAGAGAGGAGAACGAAAATATATATATGCATATAATTTTCTCTCGTTTTATTTTAAAAAAAAACACATTTCATACATTTGTGTTTGTATAAAAGCGAGAGAGGCGAGGGAGACTGCCACCAAAATGAGAGTGGCGAGCGAGATTCCACCAGAAAGTGGTGAAAATAGAAATAAGTTGCTATAGAGTACAACTAAATCAAACTATATTTATAGCATTTATTTGAATTAATAGTTTGTTATTATATACAATTTTTTCAAAAACATTTCACTTAATTAATATAATAGTACTCCAAAGTCTGCATTGAAATATATATATACTTTCTTCATTTTAGCTAATTATATGAACCTATCTAATTTGTCTAGTCTCGCAATCTAAAAAAAAAGATGAAATTTTTACATGTTATAATAAGATATTATAAACTTGTGATTCTAATCCTTTCATACCATTTTTTTGGTTGTAATTAGAGTTTTTCATTAAGGATAAATTAGAAAATTCAAATTAAATCGTTTCCAAATTTAAAAGTTAATCATTTTTTTTAAAAAAATAGACTAATAATGAAACATGCTTACATAAATTGAAATAAATATAATAATAAATAACTAAATTGATTTTTCATACAATATAGTACTATTAATTAGTAAGTACTTTTTTTTCATTTCCTTGAAAATTAACTTAAAATACTATTGATGTAACTTGTTTTTCCTAAATTTTAACATACTCTTTTATTTTAGAAATATTTTTATCAATCAATTATTTATGTTTTTAAAATTAATGTATTAACTTATGTCATTAAAAGATAAAGGGGCTGTTTGCAGATCTAATTTTCTAATCATATTTTAGTAATATCAAGAATGAAGAATGGTTAAATGAGGCCAAATAAAGAAAAGATAAAGCTGACATAATATAGGCAAAATGTGTTTGTCTTCAAGGAAACAATTCCAAATAATTCTCCAAACTCCTCCTCATAACTCCATTTTTTTTTAAGTACATAATCCTCTTCACATTACTCTAGCCTAAATACATAATAAAAGTTTGTTACATATAACTCATTTGCGATAACTTTATCAAATAATTTAATAGATCGATCAAAACTCAACACATATATCAAAATCATGTCGGCCCCACAGGCAAATGTACTCTATAAAAAAATTATACTATATTCGTTAGCTAATTAATTCCTCAAACATGGTATTGACAAATTAAAAGTTTTGCATACTCCATTTATTATATTATATTGAGTTAGAGCTAGACTAGACAACAAATCATATTTGTGATTTTCTGGAATTCATGATAGGATGACAAACTTTGCATGTCATTATTTATCATTCCTGTCCCAATATAGTAAGTAAAATGGAGTATATGTAGTTTGTGTGTAGGTGCATAAATTCGAATTACCTTACGTAAGTAATAGTGGAAGGATGGAATTAGGAAACGTAGCTAAATTATAGTACGTAAATGGACAAAAATATAATCCTTGCTGGAACAAGTCGTAAGCATGAATAATGAACACACTCCAGTTATTTCATAAAATTAAAACTCCATGGAATTGTTGGAGTGTTCGAATAGGCCTTGTTCATTTATTAAAATTCCGATATAAGAGATGATGTCACAACAGACGTGAAAATAGGATTTTAATTTAGTGTATAGTTAATTTTGAAATGTATATAGGTATGTATATTGATACGAACTTTATGTAAAAAGTGTATACGTACTTGTGAATAGAGTATAATTAAGTTGGGATGTTATACAATCTCATTTTGTTTGTGGACATGCTCATGCCCATTAATCTGCAAGAATAAAGCTTAGGAGTTGTAGTTAGGCCCAAAGGAATAAGTACCAATTAGGTAACATTGCGCTGAATTGTTCCCCTGAATCAACTATAAATCAAAGCCCAATTACTCAAGAATATTTCTCTTGTTGTAGTATGTAAGGCCTAATAGACGAGAGGGAGTTACTCGAGTAGTAAGTAGCCCTTACTTTCATCTCGAGGGTTGTGAGTTCAAGTCACCATGGGAGTTACTCGGTTGTTCTTGAAGTAAAGAAAGTTATTCTCATCTAATCTATTTAGCATTTAATCAAAAGTTCGGGGAAAAAATAATGAGATGTGAAATGATACAGTTCAACAATTAAACACATGATACAAATATGATATAGAAGGAAAAGAAGAGACTAGCTATAAGTCATAGCTCAAACTCAGCTTCTTTAACTCTTCCCAGATTAAAACTTTCCCTTAGCTTACATTGATATATGCCGGTCACCCTCTCGTGAAAGAAAACTAGCCAGAACTATTACACTGTTTCAAAGAGGCCTAGTGTGATGACCTCTAGCTTTGCCACAAAGAATAGCATTCTTTGGTATTGGAAGTTCATCTCTCCAAGAATTGGCTGGGGAGTGAACTCTTAAGTAGAATTGTTGACCCAAGTACCTCCTTGACCAATTCTCAGACCTTATGTTCCACATTCCTACATTGTCCAATGCCATGTATATTGCGGTCCATGACTTAGGATACACCTGAATTACATCAAACAAATACGTTGGAACACAAGTTTAAGGATGTTTTAGCATTGAACAAAGTTGAGATTATGTGTTTTGAGTTTTGACATACCTGGACGATGCAACGTGCAATTGTGTCCCTTAAGTTGTAGTGTGCTCTATTTGCTGGAGTCCATTGTCCACTATCCATACTGTTCATTAACACAAAATTAAGAATCAAGAGAACTAAATGGAAGAAAAAAATAGTAATTTTGATAAAGATAACGAGGTTTTTTTTTTTTTTTGGGGGGGGGGGGGGGGGACGGGAGATATGATGATAAAGAGATGATTGACCAACAACAAAGAAAGAATGCTATCAATATGCCATGATTGGACACATAATTTCATTAATCGAACAATCAATAGTATCTAACTTAATAAATTTCTTGCTATAGATAACATTCGGATATCATAAAGCATAAATTATTCTCGTAGGTGCAATTTGAAATTACTACTATTATTTTTTCTAGTTCATAGAAACTAAAAATACATAATATATTTTCTTTGAACGAATTTATACTACTAGATGGTATGGTTTAGGGATCTTTTATTAATAATTAGTGAGTTTAAGTTCAATGGTGGTTCATATCATTTTTAATTGTTGCATCACCTCCCTCACCTAGGTCACCTGCATCAAGTTCACCTTCAATTTTATCATTAGGATTATTGCCATCATTATCTCCAAACCCTTCATTAATACCAAAACCACTTCCAAAAGCACCTCCAATACTACAACCAAATCCACCAAAGCCGTCTCCTAAACCAAATGGATGCTAATTGCCAAAAAAGACAATAAAGGGTTCTGGAAATATTCATTATGTTCATCAGCTGATGCTTTTAGTTTTTCCTTTATTGCCATTAGGCTCCTCGCATTTATAGGGTAAGCAAGAACACTAGTGATAATAAGAATAACAACAAGAGTCGTGGTTGCCATTTTGACTAGTAGAAGAAAAGAGTTGTCAATATTGGATGATGCATTGAGTGTGAGAATTTTGGATTTGCAAGCTCAGTGTTCAAAAATTGGTACAATAATTAAGATTTGAAAGGTAGAAATATCACTAGCTCATACATATTGTGCGTAACATAGTCATCATGTGTTAGAGGGAGGGGAAAAAAAGAAGAAGCCAATTACATCTTTCCATAGGCATACGTTAATTAACACCTTCTCTACTACATGATAAACCTAAGTCTTAACACACATCAAACAAATCAAATTACACAACTTAATAATTATAAGGTTCAATATAATTAATTTATAACAAGGTCTTACAATTTTTAACTTCTAAATGATATAGTCACACACACTTTGGTTAATTAACTTGGTATAGCTTAGAACGGAGGAGGTCCTACTATTCATTATTATTTAGATTTTTCACATGCTTAGTTGGGGAATAGAAACACTAATATTCAAGCCCACACATGAAGGGGATCAAGGTGTCGTAAATATATAATTAAATATATAAAATTAGCTTACCCTTTCTCGGACTTGTAGCCTTTTTAAACTTTTAGATAAGTCGATTAATATATGTTTTAGTTGAAATTAAACCATTATACATTATAAACTATCGCTGCACCATTACCAGTCTCAGGTGGATGATAAAACTAATTAAGTTACAAAGTTTTAATTAACCTAGGTAAGCTAGGTAAATTTAGACAGAAATCTTGTATTAGCATATACTCAATAAGGATTAACTAAAAGAGTTTTTTTTTCCCTCGAGGAAATAGCTGACCAAAGGGTTTTAACCAAGAGCGAGGTCAAGTGAGATATCTGAACTAAGAGATAGCTCCAAGGACATAGTGTTATGGGAGTCTTCCTCTTCAATCATTGAAGTTGCACTCCTATTTGGCAAATAGGTAATACCATATGCTCGCACAATTTTATCATCATCATCTCCATCCTGCCTAAATAAAAATAAAATTCTCATTAGTAACTATATATGTCAAGTAATGAAAGTTAATTAATAAAAAGTTAATTAAGGATTTCGTTAATTACTCCAATAGTAATGGTTCCATTGAAGAAATCCCTAAACATGTAGCATTGTCCTTCCAATCTCATCTTTTTCTCTGGCATAGGTTTCCTGAAAGGGGTAACATGTAATTTCATATATCATCGTTGAAATTCAATATTAGCTCTGGAGTTCCATTTTTAATAGCAAAAAAAAAGTAAAGAAAAATGAGACGACCCATGGAGGAGGAAAAACAGTAGAGCTTGAAGAAATTTTGTCCAAATAGTTAGTTGTCAAAGTTAGACTAACATGACCATCAAACACGGATTTGTCATTGTTATGATTGTAACGATGAACAAGGTTTTCCTGTGGAAAATTCATTTGATTGGAACCATCAAACATGGCGGCTTTGTCATTGTTATGATTCTAACAATGAACAAGGTTTCCTTGAGGAAAATTCACTTGATTTGAACCATCAAACACAGTGGCTTTGCCATTGATATGATTGTAACGGTGAACAAGGTTTTCCTGAGAAAAATTCACTGAATCTGGACTATCAATTTTGTTCCTCTTCCTCCCATTTACAGCTTCTGCTTCAATCAATTAAAAACTAAAAAAGATCAAACGAATTATGGTAGATGTAATTAATTAACTCAATGGTGTTACGTACTTATATGTGACCAAATAAAATTTTGATCACCCTAACAATAGATCTAGCCTTATTACGACAAGTTCAAAGTCCTTTTCAAATTTGATATGGAATCAGACAAAACTCAAAGAGGGTAAAATGAAACATAAAAAAAATTCCTGAAATGGAACTTCAAATATTATTTCTTTTCTTGATTGCTTCACCTCCACTACTCATTTACTTTCTATTTTATCCTCCTCTTAGATAATATAATAAAGTTTCAAGCGGTTGAAAAAAAATATTCTGAATTTAATTTATGCACCTGAATCACTCCTTTAATTATATATATAACTAGTACATACAAAATCATATAGAAGAAATGGAATTTGATGAAAAAAAATTAAGTAAATAGGGATATATACCTTGCATTTGTTCGTGTTTCATGCTTCTGTACATCTGTTCATATCGTAAAAGTACATTTTCTTAAAGCCAAAAAACTGCTGGTATTAAAAAAATAACAGAATTAAAGGGTTATGATATATTAATAATTACCTGGAGGTGGCTTAATGTGAGATATGGTAAGGCCCTTCACATTCATTTTTGGTGTTGCTCCTAATTATTAGTGTGTGTATATATATAAATAGGTTAACTCCACCAAGACATTCAAAAGCATGGACAAACTGGCGATGAAGATCATGTGTCCATCAAAGTCTTGACATTCTGGGTTTTAGGTATGGTCTTATAGCAAACTCTAATAATTTATCGCTACTGCTTTTTCCTAGCTCCATGGATAAAGAAGGAGAATTTTCAGAGAATCATTCTGTGAAAAGATGAGAGGTTAAGAAGATAGTTAAGTTAGATGAAGAAATAAAGGAGTTATAAATCTAAGTTTTTATGTATAAAAAAAAACTAAAAAGGGAGTAATAAATATAAGGGAGCTAGCTAGCTAGTCACTATTGTCACCATTTTGTCTACTTGTGTCAAGGCTTTTAAATTTACAACGAGGATTTTCTTACGTAAAAATTTTCCAAGTCTTATGAATTTTGATTATGAAGCTGATTTTTTTTTAATTTTGTTCAACTTTGCACTCATAATTAGATGACTCGAAAAAAAGAAGGAAGAAAATGAATAAGGAATTAGAATATTATTAAAAAAGATTCTGAATTTATATTCTTTGTTTGAAGTCGATATGGAAACATTCTTGTGTGACCTTACATGAGATCTTTTCTTATAAGGGCCACCTCAACCTCAATAACGCCCCCCCCCCCTCCTTAAAGTCACCTTTAAAGTGTTTTTTTTAATCATAAAAATGGTCTAAAGATATCATTGATAGTGTTTGAACAAAGATGTAATCATCAATGTAAAGATTAGCTAAAATACAAAATTAGTGTGTGAAAACCTCTTTTGGCATTTCATGGAGTGAGTTACAAATAATTAACGCAATAAGTGTGTATCTATGATTTATACAAGTGTTTTCGCAAACAGTTAAGAACTTTTTTTAAACATTGAATTATTCATTTATTTTAAACTAAGAAAAAAAGATTCAACAATTCACTTAATAAAAAATAGAAGGAATATAAATAAGCTTCTATGATCTTGAATTCAAAGGAGGATTATGGTGTAAGGTGCGGATTTTTTGAAATTCGATAATTTTTACATAGATTCCGTATTTATATTGATAAATTTATGAAATACCCTATAGTGTATAATTTGTGTATATAACCATATATAATCTATGAATATAAACTCAAAAAAGAAAATAGTGAACTCAGCGGACTATATAGCGTTAAGATCTAAAATATATTTGGTAGGAATCTAGTAACAAAATTAATTTTTTGGTCAAGTGGTATAAATAAAATTAAACTATCCTCCTTGATGATGGTTAGAATCTCTGGGGCACATATGATGGTAATTTTTTTTCTCCATTCTATATTGCTTCTCCATTTTTGTTTTTTATCTCTTAAGAAATTATATATTACAAAATATCTATCTATCTATCTATCTATCTATCTATATATATATATATATATATATATATATATATATATATATATATATATATATACTAATTTACCATTCCATTCCTTTTAGAGCCTTTATTTAAAGAATAATCCACTCCTTTGACGGAAGAGGCTCCTCTCCAGTAATGATCTCTAAGTTTTCTCAAGTGCTCTCTTATATAGTTGACATTTGTCTATTTAATTTTTTAATTGATCAGATTAATTTTCTTGACTAAATACTATTAACCATGGTTATTAGTAATTATCTCTTCTCTCCTCTCTCATATCTAATCTCTTTCTTTCTCACTTAATAGTGTAACAAACATTTTCTCTCGTAAAAGAATTATTTTGTTAACAACAAGTCACTGTTCCTTTTCGTTAATTTCACACCATGATAAAAAAAAACAATTCAAAGGAAGAATTCGGGTTATAAAATTTAATTATAAGGTTCAATATAATTAATTTATAATAAGGTCTTTTCATTTTTAATTTCTAGATGATATAGTCAAACACACTTGAGTTAATTAACATGGTATACATCAGAACACATGAGGTCCTAATTAAGTCTAAGCCTTACCATTATTATGCATTATGATAAAGAATTTTCACATGCTTGGTTGGGGATTAGAAACACTAATATTCAAGCCCACACATAAAGAGGATCGAGGTGTCGTAAATATATAATTAAAAACATAAAATTAGCTTACCTTTTCTCTGACTTATAACCTTTTTAAATTTAGAGATAAGTTGATTAACTTACATTTCAGTTGAAACTACACCCTTATACATTATAAATTATCGCTGCACCTTTAATCTAATTAAGTTGCAAAGTTCCAATTAACCTAGCTAAGCTAGATTAGTTTAAACAGCAACAAGTTTCTTGTATTAGCATATACTTAATAAGGATTAACTAAAAGAGCTTTTTTTTTTGTTTTTTCCCTTGAGGAAATGGAAGAGACCAAAGGATTTCAACCAAGAGTAAGGTCAAGAGAGATATCTTAACTGAGAGATAGCTCCAAGGACATAGTGCTATGGGAATCTTCCTCTTCAATCATTGAAGTTGCACTCTTATTTGGCAAACTGCTAATACCATATGCTCGCACGATTTTATTATCATCATCTCCATCCTGCCCAAACAAAAATAAAATTCTCATTTGTAACTATATATGTCAAGTAAAGAAAGTTAATTAATAAAAAGTGAATTAAGGATTTCGTTTATTACTCGAATAGCAATGGTTCCATCGAAGAAATCCCTAAACATGTAGCATCGTCCTTCCAATCCCATCTTCTTCTCTGGCATAGGTTTCCCGGAAAGGGTAAACATGTAATTTCATTTATCATCATTGAAATTGAATACTAGCTCCGGAGTTATCTATTTTTCAGATTATTACAACATTGATGGTGTAAAAAATGTTCAAAATCAAAATAGATCCATTTTTAACAGAAAAAAGGAAGGAAGAAAAATGAGACAAACCATGGAGGAGGAAAAACAGTAGAGCTGGAAGCAATTTTTTCCAAATAGTTAGTTGTTACAGTCGGATTAAGATGACCATCAAATACAGATTTGCCATTGTTATGATTGTAACGATGAACAAGGTTTTCCTGTGGAAAATTCATTTGATTGGAACCATTAAATATAGGGGCTTTGCCATTGTTATGATTGTAACAATGAACAAGGTTTCCCTGTGGAAAATTCATTTGATTGGAACCATTAAATATGGGGGCTTTGCCATTGTTATGATTGTAACAATGAACAAGGTTTCCCTGAGGAAAATTCATTTGATCGGAACCATCAAACATGGTAGCTTTGCCTTTGATATGATTGTAACCATTAACAAGGTTTCCCTGAGGAAAATTCATTTGATCGGAACCATCAACCACAGCGGCTTTGCCATTGATATGATTGTAACAATGAACAAGGTTTGCCCGAGGATTATTCATTGAATCTGCACCATCAATTCTGTTTCTCTTCCTCCCATTTGCAGCTTCTGCTTCAGTTAATTAAAAACCAAAAAAAGTCAAATGAGTTGGTGGTAGACATAATTAATTAACTCAATGGCGTTACATACGAGTATGTGACAAAATTAAATCAATTTTGGTCTCCTAACAATAGATCTAGCCTTAGAAAAAGTAGTTCTAAGTCCTTTTTTCAATTTTAGCAATCCTAAAGGTGATATGGAATCAGGCAAAACTCAAAAGACTAAAATGAAACATAAAAAAAATTCCTCAAATGGAACTTCAAATAACATTTTTTTCTTGATTGCTTCACCGCTCACTACTCATTTACTTTGTATTTTATCATCTTCTTAGATAATAAAATCAAGTTTCAAGCGGTTGAAAAAAAAATCGCAAAATTTAAATTATGCACCTTAATCACTCCTTTAATTATATATATATATATATATATATATATATATATATATATATATATATATATATATATATATATATATATAACTAGTACATACAAAATCATATAGAAGAAATGGAATTTGATGGAAAAAATTAAGTAAAAAGGGATATATACCTTGCATCTCTTGATGTTTCAAGCTTCTGTACATCTGTTCATATCATAAAAATACATTTTCTTAAGGTGAAAAAAATAAATAAAGAAGAACAAAATTAAAGGGTTAAGATCTGATTATTACCTGAAGGTGACTCTTAATGTGAGATATAGTAACGCCCTTCACATTCATTATTTGTAGCACCATCTTTGGTGTTGCTCCTAATTATTAGTATATATATACCAAATTATTAAGTCATCATGATATATAGATCCACTCCTCTTTTTTAATAATGGAATGTAAAATCTTTTTTTTAAAAAAAAAAAGAGAGAATGTTAAGCTTATGATCAACTCCACCAAGATGATCAACAGCATGCACAAAGCGGCGATGAAGATCATCAGTCCATCGGAGTCTTGGCATTTTGGGTTTAACATACGCTCTTATGAAAAACTCTGATGATTTATCGCTATTGCTGTTTCCTAACTCCATGGATAAAGAAGGAGAATTTGCAGAGAATTATTCTGTGAAAAGATGAGAGATTAGTAAGATAACTAAGTTAGATGAAGAGAGAAAGGAGTTATAAGTCTATGTTTTTAAGTATACAAAAAAAAAAGGAGTAATAAATATAAGAGAGTAATAAATATAAGGGAGTTAGCTAGCTAGTCACTGTTGTCACCTTTTTGTCTACTTGTGTCTAGGCTTTTAAATTTAAAACGAGGATTTTCTTACATAAAAATTTTCCAAAGTATTATGAATTTTGATTATGAAGCTGAATTTTTTTATTTTGTTCAACTTTGCACTCATAATTAGATGAATCTAGAAAAAAGGAAGAAAATGTATAAGGAATTGGAGTATTATTAAAAAACATTCTGAATTTCTTATTACTTTATAGGACATTATATTCTTTGTTTGAAGTCAGTATCGAAACATTCTTATGTCCCCTTACATGAGAACTCTTCTATAATGGCCACCTCAACCTCAACAACCCCCCACCACCCTCCTTAAAGTCACTTTTTAAATTTTTTTTAACCTTAAAAAAGGGTCTAAAGATATCATTAATAGTATTTGAACATAGATGTAATCGTCAATGTGAAGATTAGCTACAATACAAAATTAGTGTATAAAAACTTCTTTTGGCATTTGGTGAAGTCAGTTACAAATAATTAACACAACAAGCATGTAGTGTATGACTTATGCAAGTCTTTTCTTTAGTAGTTAACAACTTTATTAAATGAAGGGTAAATATTCTGAAAAAAGCTCAATAGTTTTTTTAAACTTTCAATTATTCATTTATTTTAAACTATGAAAATGAGATTCAACTATTCACTTGATAAAAAAATAGAAGGAATACAGATAAGCTTCTAAGATCTTGAATTCAAGGGAGGATCTATAGTGTAAGGTGCGGATATTTAGAAATTTGATAATTTTTACATCGATTTCGTATTTATATTGATAAATTTATTAAATATCTGTTAGATGTCTAATTTGTGTGTATAACCATTCCATTCCTTTAGAGTCTTTATCTAGAGAAATAATTTAATCTTTTAACGGAAGAGACTCCTCTCTAGTAATGATCTCTCTAGTTTCTCGAAGTGCTCTCTTATATGGTTGACATGTGATTATTTAATTTTTTAATGGATCAAATTAATTTTCTTGACTAAATATCATTAGCGATGGTTATTAGTAATTCTCTCTCTTCTCTCCTCTCTCAACTTTCATCTCTTTCTTCCTCACTGTTGAATGTCTTGAATCGGACCCGTTACAAACAGAAAAGACGGGGGTCTCGCTGCCCAAGCCTGTTAGGGCGTAGCTTAGCACTATATATATATATAGACGCTATGGCAAACCCTATTTTTGTAATTCTGTTTTTGCCTCTATAATAAAACTGCTCCCTCTCTTCCCGTGGACGTAGCCAATTTATTGGTGAACCACGTAAATCTGTTGTCTTGTTTTTCGTGTTTATATATTTTCTCGTATTATCTCAAATTCCGCACAACACTCACTTAATTATGCAACAAACATTTTCTCCTATAAAAAATTTGCTTTGTTAACAACAAGTCCCTTTTCCTTTTCATTAATTTCACACCATGATAAAAGAAGACAAATTCAAAGGATGAATTTAGGTTATAAAATTTAATAAATTCAACCCATGAGACTATTTTTTTGAAGCTTGGTTCCATAAAACTCTATCGTCTTCTTCTTAACATCATTTTTTTTCAATTTGGATTTTTTGCAAAAACTAACTAAGAGATCTAGAAAGGGCTCGAAAAATGGGTAGAAAAATATTTTTTCATCTATTTTTTCGGTGAAATTCTCCATTTATTTTTTGGGTTTTCTTTTCTTGTGGTATTTATAATTGTAATCTTTAATTGGGGCTAATCATTACATTTCAGTTTTTCTCTTTTGAGACTCTCCCTAGTTGTTCATATGTAAGTGTAAAAATATTAAAATACTGATGTAATTTTAATTTTTAATTGTTTGATTTACACGAATGATGTTTGATTGCTCTATTTTTCGGAGAATTTTGAATGGAAAGAAGTAATTCTTTGCTGATTGAGAAAAGAATGAAAGGTGGGAGAATTGCTAATAACCATGACTAATGATATTTGGTAAAAAAAAAAGGTGAGAAAGTAAGAGATGAGAGGTGACCGAGAATTAGTAATAATAATGGTTAATGGTATCTGGTCACAAAAATTAATCCGGTTCATTACAAGAATAAATAGACACATGTCAATTATATAAGATCACACTCGAAGAAACTAGAAACATCATTGCAGGAGAGGAGCCTCTTCCTTCCTTTGACTAACAGTGCACATGAAAAAAAGATTTTCTTAGAACTAAACGATATTTAAGGTTTCAAAAAGAATAATTTTAAGTATGAAATGAGAAATTGAATTAATTATATTTTGAATTGTATTTAATATACCTTTAATTTAGAACAATTTGATACTTCTTTGTATCTTTTAAGAATCTTATTACACACCTCTAATAAAAAAGATATTCAAGCAGTAGGTTTTATTATAAAAGTATTTATTGAAATTATCCTTTACTTTTCTTAAAACATCTCACTTAATTAGTATAATAGTTCTCGACGGTCAATGGTTGATCCAGAATTTTCGTTGAAAGGTGCGATGTATAAAGAAGTACGTAAAAATTCCAAGATAAAAAACTGAGTGACATGGGAGGAAAATATTATTTTTAATCCGCTAAATTTAATTTATATTGTCATGGTGTATTTAGCTTCTTCCTACTTTACCCTATTCCATCGAGCTTTTAAATTTTCTAGTGAATTTTCTTTTTCTTTTTTTACAGTAATCTACTTTTTTTCTAAATTTTAAATTAGTGTACATTCAATCATATGTTAGTTTAAAAACCATCAAGATTCTTTAGAAAGATGTAAAGATCGAGTTATTAATATTATAGTGCACATTCATAAGATAAATAAATGACATTGTCGATTTTTTTAGTTCATTTAATTCAATTTACTAGGTTAATCATTTGTTAAGAAAACAAATTACGAACCAATCAAATAAGTTTAGTTTAGTTTTCATCGACTTGAAAAAAGTAAAAAAGAGCTATAATGAAATTTTTTTTAAAAAAAATCAATTAAATAGATTTTATTAAAAAAAATATTCACAACTTTTTAGTCGTTGCATTCGGTTGATCTGAATTTACTTTATTCTATATAATAGTTTTCTAATTCAATTTTAAATTTAATAACAATTCATCATTTTTTTCAAAGAGTTTCTTTAAGTTAGTACATCAGAAGAGAGATATGTAGAAATAAAATGAGCAATACAAATAAGAATAATAAAAGAACAAAATATTTAAAATGTGACTAATAAATTTAAACAAAAATAAATTAAGAAAAAGATATAACATAAAAAGAAAACTAAAAAAAATAAAAAAATAAATTGAATAAACCTATCACACTCGATGAGAATCGAACTCAAAACCTGCAACATAACAATGAACCCCTTACCAGTGAGCCACACTATTAGTATGTATTTACTTAACATCAGAACTCCACCTCGTGCATATCGTATAATTTTTCGATAATGGGGTTCGGATTTAATCATGTCATACTATTTATGTGGTTGTAATTAGAGTTATTCATTAAGGATAAATCAAAAAATTCAAATAAAATCGTTTCCAAATTTAAAAATTAAATCATTTTAAAAAATATCGACTAATAATGAAATACGCTTACATAAATTGAAATAAATATAATAATAAATACCTAAACGGATTTTTCATACAAAATATAATACTATTAACTCTTATTCATTTCATTGAAAGTTAACTTAAAATACTATTTATGTGACTTATTTTTTCTAAATATTAACACACTCCTTTATTTAGAAATAGTTTAACCAAACAAAAACGAGAAAACTAAAAACATTTAATTCCTCCTTGTGCCAAAACAAATGCACCCATATAGTTTGAATTAATTATTTATGTTTTTAAAAAGAATGTATTAACTTATGTCATCGAAAGACCAAGGGGCTGTTGGTAGATCTAATTTTCTAATCATATTTAAGTAATAACAAGAATGAAGAATGGTGAAGTGAGGCCAAAAATAGAAAAGATAAAGCTGACATAATATAGGCAAAATTGTGTTTGTCCTCAAGGATACAATTCCAAATAATTTTCCAAAATATTTACTTTGATATAATTTTAAGTATACAAGATGCTCAACA